ATAACAAACTAATAATTTTGTAAACATTTTATAAAAATTTATGAACACTTCATATATTAACTAAATACTAGTATTTGTTTTGAGTATCAGTATCATAAAGGAGTGCAACTACACTTCCATCGTTCGTATGATTGAGATGAATTAATATAACAGCTACGGTGTATAACCTTAGAAACTGAAGTAAAATCCCCATGTCATTTAATCATCAATAATATATGCCTCAGTCTTCCAGAAAACTGAATTTAATAATACAAAAATTTCTATAATAACGATAGTGAATCAATATGATAGCTGACGCATTGTTTTTCTCTATACATAATTGTTGAAATCTATTTCAATATGGGTTTTGATCTAACAATATTATATAAAATATAGTGGCTGCATCTATTCGAGTAACACACTTATTAATTCTGATGGATATATTATATCAATTATATAATGAGTAAACTAATCATTGCAGTATAAAATTCACAAGTTTCTAACATTTTAAACTTAAGTGACTTAGAATTTTTTCGATGAACCAGAGTCGATTTCATATAAATACAAAAGCCTATTCCGATAAGTCACAACTACTGTATTGTGCCAAAAAAAATCAATGTCTCTCACACAATTTATTCAATCATAAGAGTTCATGAAACGAATATAAAGTATAGATTTTCTAATACATGACTTCACGCATATATTGAATTAAAATAAAATCTTGCATCTAAAAAAGTGAAAAAAATTCTTTCGATCAATTTAGTTAAATACAAACTATAAAAAGGCTCTCAAGCTATTTTCATCAACATATCAGATAAAAGTTGGGTTCTTGAGCTAGAATTAAAAAGAACTTGTGTCTTTTTACTTTGATCATTCAGTTTTACCTAGCCTGATCATATAATTTATCTATAAGGAAAGAAAAAAAACTCATGATTTCAATTGATAAAAAAGGCATAGTTTGGTTTGTAAACAACCATTTACAACAGCAATAAATCCTGTGAGTCACCTGAGAGAAAATTCTTGCATATTGAGAAATGTTATGCCAAAGTACTTGGAACAGACGAGGATAATTCTTATGTTGTTTTCTAAGAGTGAAATTATTAGATGCTGTCATGTTTCCTAGTAAAGAGCATAAACTAGAAGATTTGATCCAGAAAAAATCAATCTTTTTCTTTTTGAATTAATCTTGTTTATTGATGAATAGATGAAACTAAAACAAAAAGCTTGTTAGTGCAGCCACTTTGGGGCTGAAATGTGGAACTCACATATCTCCTTTGGTTTCATTATACTAATCACAAAATACCCAATATTTAAAATCTCCAAAAGATAATAGTTCTTTTCTAAAGATAATCGATTATTAGAAAATGCTATGTTTTTATCTCTCAATTTCGAACAGACTTTTTTTTTCACGAAGTTGCCAAGGTCTGTAATGGGGGGTACGTCTGTAATGTTCTCTTTCCCGCTGCTATGTATATATAATGGGGTGGGGGGAGGGGGAGAGGGAGGAAGCCGCCAAACCTCGAGCTGAAAACTTACACTCACTATTTTCTTCGAAAACATACGTGAGTTCCACAAAATGAGACTACAATACAAGTATTAGTCAGTTCCAAGAGACTAGAAATCCATCATTGTTGGACTGCGTGCATCGCCAAGCCAATAAGAACCATGGCAAATACCATCATAGTGTTTGCGGGTTGCTGGTTGCCACCGGATCCATTCCCTTCACTTTTTTTCTTAGCTTTGCCATTACATTCTGGATGAAGCTGGTTCACAGCCGTAATGGTCTGACCATCCGCGCTGAGCGTAAGTATCAACTTTTTACCACTCATATCTATATTAAGGAGGTTGCTGGTCGGATATGAGACATTAGCTATCCAGTTGGT